AAAGGAAATATCTCACTCCTTGATACTTTGGACATTTAGGTCAAGTAAAGCTTTACATAAAGATTAAGTAAGTCACTTAAAGTACGGTGGAAAATTTAAAGCTTCCGTTCTGTACATGCTAAAGTAAACTAAAGCTTGTAAATTTATACAAATCCTAATGTTATGATATTTATCTCTACTTTCTTTTTTCTTATTTTTTTCATTTCCATTTTCTTCATCAGCTCATCATTCTCGAAGCCATTCCATTGAGATTTCTCACTTGGCTGGTAAATTGGCAATCGCAGTACCAAAATTAAAAATTTACTGTATTTGCCGTCTGACTGTATTGCATCCATCCATCCATTACAAACTATAAAAGTCCACTGGCGAACCTTACCGAACATACATAGGCCTCCCCCATAGATTGCCTCATAAAGGGGATTTTGCCATAGTTTGCCTTTTACGACATTTACGGAACGCATTGATTATCATACACGACCAGAGGCGATTATAGTTTATCAGTTTCTCTTTTAAAGTTTGCAATGTGTGACGGGTAAAATAATGTAAAATTTCTATTATTCATGGCATATTCCGTATATCGTACTGCTTGATGAAGCTTTTGAAAATGCATATTGCCAATAAATTTGTCAATTGTGTTTATTTCCTTTTTTGTTTTTTGTTTTTTTTTACACTTATATCTGTTATCTGTTAAAAATGCTAACTAAAGTAAAAATAAAAACTAAACGAAAATATCTAGCTACACCTGAAAGCTTATCAAATATTCATTGTAGAAATTTTTGTTTGCACACATGTTCGTTTGCGTTAATGGATGTACGATGCACCTTTTATATGTAGTAATAAATATTTTGATTTAATTACTAGGATAAAACGAAGTTCCTAAAGTTGTTGGAAAAAAATAATATCGAGTTACAGATTCGCTGCTATTCAGTGTACAGTAGAGGTTTTTTTTTCATTGAATAAGGGTGATAAATAAACATACATTCAACCTGATGGTAAGTGGATACTGTGGCCCATAGGAATCTTTATCTATCCTGGGATTAGAATCAAAATTCAGATGTGATGTCATCCCTGAGAACTAAGATGGATTGCCTCATTTCCAGTAAAAATTACCTCTGGTTCACACCAAACACACAGAGAGGGCACTCGATTCTCGAAACGCCTCCTCAAGACTGGTGTCCCTCAGGGTTCAGTCCTTTCTCCACTCCTCTTTACACTCTTTACGAGTGACATCCCGAAGGACTCAGTAGTTAATACTGCTCTCTTCACCGATGACACGGCAATTTTCGACGCCCATCACAACAAAAAATACTCGCCCAGATTCTCCAAACAGCCTTCAACCGTTTTGGCGATTGGTTTCACTTATGAAGAATCGAAGTGAATCCTAAGAAAAGTGTAGCAATATATTTCCAACAGCTTCACTCTCTCAATCGCCAATTAAATCCCAAAAAATCGTTAAGCACGATCACCCTATACGGCCGCCAGATCCCCTTGCAATCAACCGCCAAATACCTAGGGGTCACATCCGACCACGGCATGACCTTCTCGAAACACATTCGCAATGTCCGCAAACGTGCCAAATTCATTGCTATAAGTAAACCAAACTACTGGAGGATCGCCCGCGGGGCAAGAAGTTGGTGAGCGCGGAGGGATTTTAGGGAGTTTCGGGGTGAAGTGCGGGAGCTCGAGTGACATTTTTCAGTGCGCTCGCGGCTTTCGCAGCGGGCAGTGGGTTAATCGGTTACGGACGCTCGGAACAAAACGCACACGAGATTATAACCCAAGATGAATGCTGAAGATGGACGCTCAAAGATTTTTGCCAAGCAAATTAACAAGCTAGCGAAACATTTGGTGTACAATGTACATTCTTTCTTTAAACTAAGAAAACAAGATCAATCGTCTACGGAATATCAACAAGGCGTAAACTTGAATAAATTGGTCGCGCAAGCAACAGGAATATCTTTAACATCTGTGAGTAAAATTGTCAAAGAAGGAAATTATCTAAAACGCGAACAAAATAGCGTGGTTTTTAATTCCCCTAAAAAAATAAAACAGGTACGAAAGAAAAAGATTGACATAGATAATTTTACTAAAGGAGTAGTGAGACGAAAAATAACTCAATTTTACACTATTTACAAGAGAGTTCCCACATTAAAAACATTAAATGCTAAACTTAAAGAAAATATTTGAGACTACTGCACAAACTTGGCTTTAAATTTAAAAAATGTCAGTCGAAGAGAAAGTTTTTTTTTTATAGATGAGGGGACAAACGAGCATATGGCTCACCTGATGGTAAGTGACTACCGCCGCCCATGAACAACCGCAACACCAGGGGAATTCCAGATGCGTTGCCGGCCTTTAAGAAAGGTGTAAGCTCTTTTCTTGAAGGTTCCTAGGTTGTATCGGTCCGGAAAATTCGCTGGTGGTAATTGATTCCACAAGGAAGTTGTGCGAGGGAGAAAACTTCTTCTAAATCGCACAGTGGTGGACCGCCAATCATCCAGATGATATGGATGGTCACGCGAGTTTTGTCGCGATGTGCGATGGTGAAATTGAGCGGCTGGAATTAGTCCGAACAATTCCTCAGAGCACTCCCCGTGATAGATGCGATAAAATACGCAAAGAGATGCAACATCTCTACGCAGTGCCATTGTATCGAGTCGATTAGAAAGAACTCGGTCGTCGACGATTTGAACCGCTCTGCGCTGGATGCGGTCAAATGGAAGGAGCTGGCACTGAGGTGCCCCGGCCCAGAGATGAGAACAGTATTCCATGTGGGGCCAAACTTGCGCTTTGTAAAGTTGCAAGCGATGTGCCGGCATGAAATACTGTCTCGCTCTGCTGAGCACGCCAAGCTTTTAAGGGGCCAATTTGGCCTTCCCTTCCAAGTGACCACGAAACTGCACACTATTCGATATGTCGACGCCAAAGATTCCGATACTAGCTGAGGCAGCAAGGGGAGTGCTTGAAACTGAGGAGATACGACAAAGGGGTTCTTTTTAGCGGTAAACTCGCAAACTTGTGTCTTCTGGGGATTGAACTGGACAAGATTTAGTCGGCCCCGATCCGAGACTTTGTTAAGCAAAGACTCGATTTCAGACATAAGTTTGTCCCGGTACTCAGCGACGTTTTCCCGAGAAATATTGGCACGGCCGGTATATAAGGCATCACCAGTGCTGTCGTCTGCATAGCAATGAATGCTACCAGTTAGCAACATATCATTGATATGCAGGAGAAACAGCGTTGGTGATAGCATGCAGCCTTGTGGAACACCAGCGTTGATAGGCTTGAAATCAGAGCATGCACCGTCTACTACGACCTTGACGCTCCGATCAGCAAGGAAACTGGTGATCCATGTACACAATTTCTCGGGAAGCCCATAGGAAGGAAGCTTCGAAAGAAGCGCTTTGTGCCAGACCCAATCGAAGGCCTTCGCTATATCCAAACTGACGGTCAATGCCTCCCCCTTGGACCCTACTGCCTCCGCCCATCTTTGAGTCAGATAGACTAGAAGATCACCAGCTGATCGATCTCGACGAAAACTGTACTGGCGGTCACTAATAAGCTGGTGATCCTCAAGGTACCTCATGAGCTGGCAGTTTATAATGGATTCCATTATTTTGGAGAACAAGGAGGTGATGGCAATAGGCTTGTAGTTGGACGGGTCTGAGCGGTCGCCTTTTTTAGAGATCGGGTGGACCAAAGCTGTCTTCCATGAGTTCAGGACTACGCCGTGGGAGTAGGAGTACCGGAAAAGACGCGTTAAAACCGGTGCCAACTCCGGAACACACGTCTTCAGCACAATGGGAGGGACTCCATCGGGCCCACTCGACTTTCTGACGTCCAGGGAGAAGAGTGCTTTGCGAAGCGAGCGCTGTGTAAACCGCACATCCGGCATGGAGCACTCACATCGCGGGATGGTCGGCGGTGTGTACCCCCGTCATCTAGAGTCGAGTTGGATGCAAAAAGAGAGCTCAACAGATCGGCTTTCTCCTTTGCGGCATGGGCCAGTGAGTCGTCCCCCTGTGCAGAAATGGAAGAGATGGCTGACAGAAGTTCCCTTGGACAGCCTTGGCGAGAGACCAGAATGCACGGGTTCCCGAAGGAAGGCGAACTAGCTTCTCGCCAATTCTGCCGATGTGCTCAGACCTTGCCTTGGCAATGACGCTTTTGAAGGACCTGGAGACGGAATTATACTTCTTTTTAAGTGCGCTGGTGTTAACATCCCGAGACGTTATTGCGTCAGCCCAGGCCCGGTAGCACTCCTGCTTATAGCGTAATGATATTTTACAGGAGCGACCAAACCATGGCTGGGATCTGCCTCCGATGGACACCAAAGAGAATGGAATAATAAAATCCATACACTGAAGTACCACATCAGCAACAGAATCGGCAACAATGCTGGGATCTTCCGGCGAGAAGCAAACCCGCCCCCAAGGGTAAGATGCAAAAAAAGACCGCATCCCGTTCCAATCATCTGACCTATAGTGCCAAACACGGTGGCAAGCTGCAGATCGCAACTGCGATTGGAGCCTGAGTGGCACCGTACTCCGGATCAGACAATGGTCCGATGAGCCCAGAGGGGCATCGACGGAGACCTGATATCCCTCCGGATGAGAGGTCAGCAGAAGGTCCAACAGGGAAGGTACATGGTCTTCCACATCTGGAATCCGCGTAGGCGAAGTAACCAGTTGTGTTAGACCATATGCCAAAGGTTGCTTATTGAACAACCAAACATTGTTTATTGGCGATGGAAATATCTGAATGCGATACAAAAACATCGAAGAGACAAGAGATCCATTGTTTACCTCGATGAAACATACGTCAATTCCTCCTTTAATGTTCCATCGTGTTAGCAATCAAAAGAAGAACGTGGAGTGCTAGCTCATATTGGCAAAGGAACGAGATTAATTATTGTACATGCAGGAGGCCAGGCTGGATTTATTGACGGAGCTCGTTTAATTTTTAAATCAAAAACTAAAACCGGGGATTATCATTTGGATATGAATTTTGTAAATTTCAATAAATGGACAAAAGAAAAATTATTGCTAAATTTACCTCCAAGATCTGTAATTGTTATGGATAACGCCGCGTATCATTTAGTCCAGGAAGGCAAAAAACCAACGGTGACAAATACAGAAGCTTCGATGCAGGCTTGGCCGCAAAGACATAATGTGGAATTTGACAGTTCCTTGAGAAAATGTGACCTGCTCAAGTTGATCAAACAACATGGATCTGAAAATGTTTACAAGATTGATGAAGTGCTAAAAGCTGCAGGCCATGAAGTATTAAGACTTCCGCCGTATCACCCAGACTTGAACCCCATAGAGCTGGTTTGGGGGGATATCAAGGGACAACTTTCGAGAAACGAACTTTACAGTAATTTAGATAAGAAGAAAATTGCACTAGAGAAATTATTTAGTAAATTTCCAGTACAAAAATGGGTAGCATGTGACACACATGTCCAGAAATTTGAAGATGAGTACTGTCAACACGATCGAATACTAGACGACGCTATGGACGAAATGATAATTAATTTACAAGATAATTCTGACTCGTCCAGTTGTACTGATCGCGAAGACGGTAATTCAAGTGATATGAATATTGATATTAATGAGGAGGAAAATATATAATAATTATTAAAATAAAATTATAAAAAATGGTTAAGTACTGCTTTTCCAAAATTAACATGCTACAAAATCATTGATCTAGCAAAGTTGACTTTTATTTACATTATCCTATATTTGCAATCGGCGAATATTATCCCGGGATTTATCTCTGCAAAAATTATTACGTGTGTATCAATACCCGCCCCCACCAACTTCATGCCCCGCGGGCGATCCACCAGTTGTGTGGTTTACCTATAATCACCTCCACCGGCTAGTTAACAGCAAGAGCAAACTGTCTTTAAGACACAAGCTCCATCTCTAAAAAACATGCATAAGAACTGTCATGTCATACGCTAGCGTAGCTTTTACTCACGAATTCAAATCTAGTTTGCACAGCCTCCAAGTTGTCCAAAATAGTTTCATTCGAAAAACAACAATGTATCAGCGCTACTTCAAGAGTGCCGAAATACATCCTAATCCGTTTGTGGTAAACGCAGTCACCTACAATCCGACTCCAAATATCACGGCCTCCCTATGGAGGCCTCGTACATCGTTTTAATTGAAAACTCGGTTCCGCTGGACTCCGACGTGCCAAATGTTGCCGGGCCAACACACACCAATTCTACACACTCACCTAGTGTCACAAGAACAGTTAAGACAACGGATGGAACGCAGTGAGTCCACAGACTGGCGGGCCGCACACCCCTCCACACCGCGTACACACCGTACATTTGCGTCCTTGAGTGGTTCTCACTGCACGTTGATACGAGTTAACCACAGAGCCGGGGCCCGCCACCCTTGTTCGGACGGCGGTTAGATAACTCATCCCAGAAACTAGACTACATTCAACATACGAAATACAGCAGAAACAAAAAAGAATATGGCTTTCACTGGAAGAAATATATAGGAACGTGTTATGTGGTCGTCTTTGAATAATAATAATTATAATTAATATACCGTTACCGCTACAGCCTATCGAATTTCAACTGATGAACACAGGCCTCAAACATAGATTGCCTCATAGAGGGATCTATTGCCATAGCTGCCATAGTTGCCACGCTTGGCTGGCATGTTGGCATCCAAAGCTTTTTTTTAGTTGTCGAAGACGCTGCTGTCCATCTCTAGGTTTGCTTTCTCCTGTCGCCTCCAGCGACACCCACGGGACGATATGGGGTGGATATTTTTAAACCGTCACTACACGGACAAATAAACATATAAAGTAAAGGTGCTTACTATGAGATACGCCTAAAATGAAATAGTTCAGTATTTGAAAGTTCATTTACTTGTCGTGAGCGACAGTGGTATCGCTTAGTCATTCATTCGTACGTGTTCAAATGTGCATTATTGCATTAGTGCAACCATTTAGGTACCGGCAAACAAAATACACTACTCGACATTTGTCGGGAACGGATACGAATTTTTGTCGTTCTCAACTGCAAGATATGTTAAATCATTAAAAATAAGTACATTTACATTAGATATAGATTTGTGATATCTGTTAAGGAGTGAATTTTAATATTCCATATAAATTTATTTTTATGAAATATTAAAATTCATTTATAAGGAATATTTTTATTATGTTTATTACATATAAAAAAACATGAGATTTGATTATGTTGAATTTATATTGAGTTCCTAATACGAGATACTAGTGAGCTCCCTATATTCCTGTTTACCCGATAATCTCGAACATGTTTTGAGCAACTAAATATAAGATTTTCCAAACAGCATGCATCTTTGTGCTGCCAAAAGCAAATACAAATGAATGATGTTTGGAAATGCTTACGAAAAATCAGCAACTTATGTAAACATGGGCTGAGTTATTATTCTTAATATAAATAAATGCTGGTTGTTACTCTAATTTTATAATTAAATTCATTGAAAGTATATTAATTAATTGTATTTTTCATTTAGATGAGCTTAAAAGTAGAGTTGCCTAAAATGAGTCATAGATAGACTTTAAACAGTGGTGGAACCACGCGGCAGTTTTTGCTGTTGCACGTATGGGCTGGCTCGAGCCGGGGTAGTACCACTACCTCACAGAATACGTGTAGTGAAGTAGAAGCTCTGCTTCTGCCTTTCCACTGGTGAGTGCAGGTGGCCGATGGCCAAATTCCCCCCTTCTCTTAACGTGGTAGCAGAGTTAAATAGAACACTACACCAGAAGGGCACCAGCACTCCTGGTGACGGAGAATCCCTCGCTGAGCATCTACGACTAAGTTACTCCAAAATTCCGCTCAAAACAATAACTGCTCGCGAAAACTGAACCACAAGACCTAGGCGACCCCTGCCATGCTATCTGTAAATTTCTGCAACATCAGGGGACTTCACTCGAACCTAAACACCGTCCAATTCCATCTGGAGATGACGAAGCCAGCCTTGTTCTTTCTGACCGAGATGCAGGTGTCCTCTCCGACTGATACTTCGTATCTCTCCTACCCGGGGTAAAAATTGGAACACTTCTTTATGACTCCGGCTGCAGTTTGTGTATGTGTCAGAGAGGACATCTGATCATCCTTCCTGTTCATCCTTTGGCTACGCGAAGATAGCGACAATCATCGGAACAGCTACGTGTGCCTCTATAAGCCCCATAGCGGTAATGCCGAAACAGGCCAACTCATTGACCACGTCCAAATGGCTACAGATTCCTTGCAACGGCAGATCGTGATCTTTGGCGATTTTAACGCCCACCACACCGAATGGCTCGGTTAATGTTTAACCAATTATGTGGGGAGATCTGTTCATGACTTTACCTTGGCATATGGTCTAACACTGCTGGTTACTTCGCCTACGCAAATAGCAAATGTGGGCGATCATGCATCTTCCCTGTTGGACCTTCTGCTGACCTCTAATTTGGAGAGATATCAGGTATCCGTCGCCGCCCCTCTTGACTCTTCGGACCATTGTCTACTCTCGAGTGTGGTGCTACTAACGCTAACATCACTGTCGCAATCTGCAGGCTGCCGCTGTATTCGGCACTATAGATCAGCCGATTGGGATGTGATGCGGACTTTTCTTGCTTCTCGCCAGACGATCCCAACGTTGATGCTGATTCTATTGCTGACGTGTTACCTTAGGTTATGGAGATTTTTATTCCTTCCTCTTCTAAACAGGAGTGCTACGGGGCCTGGGCTGTTCTTTCAACGTCCCGGGATGTAAACACCTTTAAGAAGAAGTATAATTTCGCCTCCAGGTCCTTCAAAAGAGGCATTGCCAAGGCAAAGTCAGAGCACATCGGCAGAATTGGCTTGAAACTAGTTCGCCTTCCTTCGGCAACCCATACATTCTAGTCTCTCGATAAGGATGTGCAAGGGAACTTCTGTCAGCCATCTCTGCACAGAGAGGACGACTCCAGTTCAAGGGGAAGCCCTGGTGGTTAGTTTTTACATAGCGAAGGCCTTCTATCGGGTTTGGCACAAAGCGTTTCTTTCGAAGCTCCCTTCCTATGGGCTTCCCGAGAAATTGTGCAATTGAATCACCAGCTTTCTTGCAGATCGGAACATCAAGGACGTAGTAGATGGTGCATGCTCCGATTACAATCATATTGATGTTTGTGTTTCAAAAGGCTGTGAGCTATCACCAACGCTGTTACTTCTGCATTGCTATGTTTTTCCTCGTACGAACTCTCTGTGGAATATTTTACCACTGACGATTTTTCGGACCGATACGACTTAGGGAGCTTTAAGAAAAGAGCTTACTCCTTTCTAAAAGGCTGGCAACGCACCTGCAATCCCCCTGGTGTTGCAGTTATTCATGGGTTGTAGTCACTTACCATCAGGTGTGCCGTATGAAGGTTTTCCTCCCTTTTCTATAAAAAAATATATCTCAAATTAGGAACCCTTTTCCACAGTGGTAGAGCCACGCGGCAGCTTTTGTTGGCGCACGGATGGGCCGGCTCGAACCGGGGTGGTACCACGACCTCACAGGAAACTGGAACTGGAAATGAGGCATTCCATCTTAGTCCTCACGGGTGACAACGCATCTGCATTTTGATTCGCAAACGAGGATAGATGTAGATGTCTATGGGCCGCAGCAACCACTTACCATCAGGTGGACTGTGTGCTCGTTTGTCACCCTTATCCTATAAAAAAAAACCGTAAGTATCTCATATTAGGATACCAGCATGTTTGCGTAGAAAAAGTATATTATTTTGTTATTTTACTTATATTACAAAATGTGTAAACATTGTTACTAAAATGTTTATAGTTTTAAAATACCTATACATTAAATGTAATTTATTATCACGTTAAATTACCTTTTCACTTGTGATATTTTTAAGAAAAACGCAAAATTGAAAATGGTATCTCATATTTGGCAACTTTACCTTACATAATCAACGTTAATTATGTTAAGATAACAGTAAAAAAAAAATACGAATGGAATCGTCACTATCCAGTTCGTCTTGTTATAGCCTTCAATTCAATTGAGATAGATTACCCATACCAGACTCTAAATGTGAGCCGAATCACTCAATTATTCAGACAGATACTAAAGGCTAATGAAAATGGCTACTTTACACACCTTTCACATTTTCCACTCTTTTTTTCTTCAGTTTTAACCAATGTAGATATTTTAAGTAATGCTGCCGGCTTTTTAAAAGATATTTTTAAAGTAGCCAAAATCGTATTAAGTTAATAGATAGAGTATTACACAAAATGTAATTACCGCTTTACATAAATTTAAGAACAAGAGGATTATCAACTAAAATTTCAGGCGAAAAACAGCAGTGCATGCACTGCTTTTTGGCCGCAGAAATAGGTAAGTGAGTGGTACCTACTTATTGATACGTATAAAGACAAACTCGTGTCATTAATAATTGAGTTTGATAGTACATTTGATTTCCATTTCTTAACACTTTTTGTTTGTTTTATTGATTACGTTACAGTTTTAACCTTAACTTTTTCATTTTGACGAAGTGCTTAATTACTAAGCTACGAACTCCAATACTGAACAAGTTTGGCCTATACATAATTGTTCCGAGCCGTGATGTTGGTCCATGTATATTTAATGATAGAGGAAAAATT